CCCGCCACGCGACGACAGCTGCCCAGCAGGAAGCCTCGGTAGCAAGTCATCGTCCGCCCGGCAGACCTGGGCTCCCGACCCCGCTCTTTGCCCCCAGGTGTGCGCACCGCCCGCGCCGTCCCGGCCTCTAACTTCGCGCCCGCTGGCCAGAGGTTAAGTACAGGGCCCTGCGTGGCCCGCGCCGCTAGGGGGACGTGCCCGGACGTTGACGGGGGCGGGGAAAGCCAGGCGATTGGGAGAGGGGAGCGCCCACCGGAGGTAAAGGTGGGCGGGGAAGAGCCGGAGGCCTCAGGGTGGTGGGTTTTGTTTGTGTGTGTATCCGTTTCCATTGACGCCTGCGCAGTGGCCGCTTCACCGCCCGAGGGACAGCCTCCCGCTCCACCCCCTTCCCCGCGGGCGCTCTCCCGCCCGCGACTCTGTCAGCCAATCAGCCCCCGCCCAACCCTGTCAGCCAATCAGAGCCCGCTGCGGTTTCCGAGCCCGAGGAGCTGCGGGAATTGGCTGCAGCCAAGGGAAACGCTGGGATCCTATTTGGTGTTTGAGCTGCCGGAAAGAATCCAGCTGGAACCGATCTGAGGCGGCGCAGGAACTGTGGGTGGGGTTTTGAGCACCTGGCGGGAAGGCATGTGTCGCGCATTTCCTTATTGGGGTACGGTCCTTTCCCATTATTGCACCTAAGTCTAGACCACATAAGTCTATACTTTTTCATTATTGCTCATGAGACTAGGTGCTTTGTTCGTTCATTCAACTAACGCATATTGGATGGCTGATATTTACAACGCTGAGCTAGGGTCTTAGGGTACTGACCCACGACTGGCTGCATAATTTGCAGGGCCTGGTATTAAAAGACCATGCGAAACCCTTTGTTCAGAGGTTGTTCAGAATTTCAAGACAACAAAGCAGTATGCAGAGCACTGGACCCATGTAAGCATGGGGCCCTGTGGGACTACTCGGTCGTGGCCCTTGCTGATCACCAAAAAACAGCCCAAAGGGAGAAAAAAAGGTGTGTAGTCTCTGAAGAGGTGGAGGAGTCTGGGCCAGGGGAGCATTTCCAGATGGAGAGATAAGGTTGAAAAAGTAAGGCAAGTGTGAGGGGTTAAGACTGTTAGTATTTGGACTTTATTCTGTAGGTAGCAGTTAGTGTTTTGTGGGCTTTTAACTCGTAAGAAGAATCCTGAAAGCAGTGTTTGATGACGATTGATCTGGCTTAGGAATGTTGAGCATATTGAAGGCAACTTATCCTCTTTAATATATCTTTAATTCTCCCTTTCTACTGGTTTTTCCTACTAATTATTTAAACATACTCATATTTATGACATCTGAAAAAAATTTAAACCAACTCTAAGCCCTAGCATTTTACATGTTGTCTATCTTCCCTTTAAAGCTAAGATTTTTGAAAGAGTAATCTGTTCATCATTGCCGCATCTCCGCCTCCTATTCATTCCCAAACCAGTTGTAATCATTTCTCCCCACCATTTCACTCAATACTACTATTTCCAAAGTGACCAAAGATCTGATTGTAAACTCAGAAGACATTATTCAGCCCTTAAGTAACTTGATCTTTATGCAGCATTTGAAATGGTTATCATTTCCTCTTGAATTTTTTTACTCCGGCTTCCAACACACCAAATCCCTGATAGTGTCCCTCCCATCTCTCTGTTCCCTTTTTGGGTTCTTTCTAAGCTAGTCTTCAGGATCTATCCCTCCAGGATCTATCCCCTCTCTTCCTTTCCCCTCCTTTTTCTTCCCTTCTTTCGTGCTCACTCTCGTGCACACTCATGTTCTCTCTCTCTCTCTCTCCCCGCCCCCACTCTTCTGCATGAGTTCATCCAGTATTGTATAATGAAAAGAACTTGCACTTTAGATTTAAAAAGACTCATTCAAACCCAGCTTTACCATTTATTACTTAGTCAACCTTTGTCCTACTTATTCCTGTATAAAGTATAATAGCTACTTTGTAAAGTTGTAAATATATATACGTGCCCATTACAAAGTATACACTTGGCAAATATTAGCCCCTTTCCCCTTCCATGACTTTAGCTGCCACCAGTACCTTCACCCCAGACTGTCCTGAGTGAGCTTCAAATCCTTATTTCTATCTTCCTGTTGAGCCTTATATACACAACACATGTCATTGGAGATCAAATTATATTTGATTGCCTGCTATGGGTCAAACACCCTACTAGGGCTGGAGATAAAATGATAAATAAAAGGTAGTCTTCCCCCTAAAGGAACATAAAGTTTTATGCAATGGTAGAGTTATGTACAGAATGCTATAGGAATGTGGAGAAATCAGTCTTAACAGCTTAAGAGGAGTTAGGGAAATCTTTCTGGAACTGTCATGAGCCAAGCCTTAAAGAATGAAGAGATATTAGCCAGACTCAGCAACAGTGAGAAAGGAATTTCACAAGGTGTGGAGCAATGAAATAGCAGTTCTGAATTCCTAGAGAATTTAGAGGGAGGCAGGCAACAGTGGGAGGTGAGGCTAGAGAGGTAGACAGAGCAAAAGAGATGGAAAGTATTATAGCCATGCTTAGGAACTTGGCTTGTAGCTCATATATGCAAGGAAGCCACTAAAAGGAGAAAATGACATGATTATCTTTGTAAAGATTGTGAACAGGAATTTCTTGGAAGAAACACAAGCAGTGAATAAATATCTGAAAGATATCTATCTTATTCGAAATCAGAAAAATACAAATTAAAGTAATAGCGAAATAGCCTTTTATAGCCACTAGATTGGCAGCAATTTAAAAGTTTGGCAATCGTCTAATTTTTGAAAACATACATCGTGTCTTTATTAGGCTAAACATTTACCAGATACTGTAATAACTTCCAGTGCCACAGTTTTCAAATATCAAAACTTTTTTAGAAATCATTTTGGAATTGTGACTCTTGTCCCCTTGTTATGGACTGAATGTTTATGTTCTTGCAAAATTCATATGTTGAAGCCTTAACACCCAATGAGATGGTATCTGGAGATGGGGCTTTGGAAGGTAATTAGAGTTAGATGAAGGTATGGTGGTGGGGCCCTGACGTAATGAGATTATAAAAAGAGACACCAGAGAGCTTGTTCTCGCTCTCTCTCCCTCCATGCTCCCACAAAGAAGAGGTTGTGTGAGCATGCAGTGAGATGGTGGTCCCCCGCAAACAAAGAGGCCTCAGAATTAAACCTACCTTCCCAGCACCTTGAATTTGGACTTCCCCGCCTCCAAAACTGTAAGAAGTACATTTCTGTTGTTTAAGCCACGCAGTCTGTGATATTTTGTTATGGCTGCCCACGCACACTAAGATGCCTCTAACAGGAATTGTTTAAGGCTCATGATCAAAAGTCATTTTGAAGCTATGAGTGATCAAACTGGACTGAAAAATGAAACATAGCTAGTAAGTACTGAGACTAATTTTCTAGTGTAATTCATTGTTTCTGAAACAAAAATCAAAAGAGCATCAAAGTCTGTTGTGTGATTGTTGAATTTACTGTAGTCTACCATAATAATGGCATGTAAGAAAAAATTCATTTGGCTATATATGATTTTTTTTTAAAGGTCTCTATATAGTCACACCTAGTCAAATATTAATGATAATTTAATTTTATAAATAAAGCAAAGAACAAGTTAAAATATTGTACTTTTTGTATATTTAGTGTTTTGGTACATAGGTAATGTATTTTTGTTCATTCCTTCAAAAACTATTAGATACTGACTGTGAGTCAAGAATATACAAGATACAATGGCTACAAGTCCAAGAACAAATATTCTCTTTAAAGGAAGGAAATCCAAAGGCTAAATAAGAATACACATTTCCCAGAAGAGAACACAATTAAATGAAATGTTATTAGGCAGTTATAGTGGTTTTCAAAGAAATGACTGAAAATTTTGTAAAATATTTGTTTTACGGCCAATGTATGATTGGAAAATAAATATTTCGATTAGATATTTATCAAATTCAGCAATTTGTAATTTTAACTATTATATCCATCAATGTGATGAATAGTCCAAATTAGTTATCAAATCCTATTCTAAATTAACTTCTTCAAAAATAATAAATTTTGAATTTCCGAAGTCCACGTGTTTCTTAAATTCTTCACTTTCTCCACACTAATTAAAATGTAAAACTTCAGAATTATTAGACTACAAGAGAAAAATTTTAATTCCAACAAATTATATTTCATGAACTTTTTAATAAAAACTCTTCGAGGAATGAATAGGATCTTCTCATTTAGTTAGGATGGTTTAGCATTTTCAGTAGGGTGATCAATCTTTTTGTAGATATCATGTTTATAGTATGTAGCACTCATGAACAGGCAACCGACTGTCTGTGAGTCCACCGGGAAGGATCTGTGATATAAATTTAAAATATTTTGTTATACAATGGTATATTCAGATTAGATTTAATATTGAATACAACTGAACATGAATACTCATGAATATGCTTACTGGTGAAGAAGTGAAATATATAGAATTTATATTTTTATAAGTAACAGTTAGAAATGTTCCTAATTTTAAGATCATTAAACATTTTCAGATCATTAAACTCTTTCTTAATTCATGGGCAACAATGTTTTAAAAATTAGACTTTTTATTACTTTCATAACATTTTAGTATTTGTATGCAACATCTCCTGGAGAAGGTACTAAATGAAAGGGGAAAATGGCAGGGGAAGGACATGGTGCTCATATGACTGACATTTACTTTGCATTACTTTCATTGTTTCTCATCTTGTACAAAGATAGTTGCATATTACTCTTTCCTAAAATGGAATATAATAAAATATAGATTCTATATACAGGTCATTTGTTGATGAGAATTTTGCCATTTAATCCTTCTTTCAAGTTAACGTTTTTAATGGATACGAACTGATTTTCTAATAGATCCCATTTTATTGTTGATGATATAAACATAATAATATAAAAGATAATATACATTTCATACATTTCAAAGAATAATTAGCCATTTGTTTAATAATAACAAGGAAAATAATATTTACTTAGTTCTCTCATTCACTGAGTCAAGCAGTTTATGATCCTGACCTGCATGTTTTGTGCATTTTTCCTCCTGATTACATTTGTAGTATTAGGCAAAGGAAGATATTTCATGAAGTTCTGCTCATGGTCTTTGATGGGTTTTTAAATTATGTATGATTAAAGCAGCCTTGAGATTTAAAATAATTAAAAATTGGAAAATTGCTTGCTAACACACTATATTACCTAGTTCTCCATAGAGTAGAATTTATGGGTAAATGAAATATTATTGAAAATATCTAGATGACTTTATTAGAATAGCTACATCTATATAACAAAGCTGTGCTTATTATTTCCTTGACAATATTTTTCTCCAAAAATAATAATGAACTTTTATTTTAAATTCACTTAGCAGGACAAGCACTGAAACCTAGAAGCCTGTTCATTACTGGTTCCACTTCAGCCTTGCTCAATTCACGAATCTTGACACAATAAAAGAAATAATACTTTCTGCCCCAGGCAAAGGAAGTCTTTGAAAATAAAGATTCCAAAAGGGGAATAAACAGGATTTTTGGTGTTTCAAGCCATATTTGCCTGGTGGCTTCATTACAAGTATTTATAATTTCTCTTACTATAGCCAATAATAGGCGAATGAGAACAAGTGAAAAGACATATGAATAAATGGTTAGTTTCAGGGTAGCAATGTAATATTTTAAACTGCAAATATGGTCTTTTATGCAATTTATATGCAGATGATATGCAGGCATCATGATGAGGCTGAGTTTTGGTAATATCCTAATGAAGGCCACATATTGAAGATTTTCAAACCCACTCCTTGGATTCAAACAGCTAGGGCTCTAACCCTCCCCAACCCCCTTAAAACATATCAGTTCCACTTTTTAAAAATTTATTTCGGAGGTTAGGATTGTGCATAAGATTTTTTTTCTTAAACTTCTGACCTAACAAAAAAAAAGTTATTTACCTGATCTATTTTTAGTGACTTCAATGAAATCATCCTCATCCTCATCACAGCTATCACAGTTTAATTGCTGGAGGACTGTTTCTGACTGGCTTTCAGCTTGATTTCCGTCTTTCTGCTTATCGAAGCTTCGGAGTGCAACAAGGCGATGATGTATTGCTGCATACAGATATCCTGTATCTTTGGCGCTGGCCTGCATAAGGAAAACTAAGTTGTTAGGAATATAAATAATTGAATAATAGCCACATTTTATGAGTTTTTAATCTTTCACTATTAATAAGGAAGGAATTATATGGCATAAATCTAGAATGTAAATAACCCTAAAGTCTGCTGGATAAAAAGTCAATTTATCTTGAACCAAACTAAATATTAAAGTGGATGATTTTATAAGAGGTCCCGATATGTGCATTTTAAACTGATAAAGTAGAATTTTGTGATTTAAAATTTGTTTGAATTTCAGTTTGTAAAAGACCATTCTTCTTATTTTACACTGTAGAAAATTATAGTATTAGGAGGTGAAAAAACTTCTATTTCCTTTATATCACTTTTCTTACGTACATCACTTTCCCTGTAAGCCACATAGCTCTATGGAAAAGGAGAATTCATTAGAGCAGTCTATGATATTGTATCATATCGGAAGTCCTTCTTTCAATACTTTTTATGCTATTTTTATGGTTTCTATTAATATAAAAGATCATGGTAACAATACCATTGGTATAACATTGACTGTGATTATTTTTTTAATTCAATCCATGTGATAAAACTGTGGTTTTATGTATTCCATTTGTATTAACAAAAGCACATAGCATGGGTATTCAACATATACTTGTTTCCCTCTTCTTTTTACGTATAAGGAAATGATGGCTCAGAAAGGTACAACGGCAAATTGGCTGAGACTTGAATCCAACTTTTTCATCATCTAAGTCTGTGCTCTTTAAGGTAACATGGCAGTAGTTTACATTTTTTGTATCTTATAATTTCCAAAAAAATCTGGGAAAATTTTCTTTTTGCTAACCCTCCAAGGAGCCATCAAACATTTAAAAGCCAACAACTCAAGGTTGAACCAACTGTATGCCAACTTTTGGGAGAAGGATCTTAACTTATGTTTTTTCATATGCATGGTCTAAAGTTGCTTTAAATACTTGTGGGGAAAAAACTAAAATATAAATACAATAAAATATTTTTGTTTCTCATGTTGCATTAGATATTACAGAGTAGTTACTGAGTAAACATTTGTTAACTCAACTAATTTAAAATTATATCATGTCCAAGGTATAATTTTTCTTTAGTAAGTTAATTAGTAAAAATACTGAAAGAGTATTTGTAATTGAAATATAAATACTATTCTCCTACCTTGACTTTCTTACATTAAATTTTAAATATACCTTTCACTAGTCAATATATTTATTTCCTTTTGCCAAATTCACTCAGATCTTTTCATTTAAGAAACTCAGAACAAGAAGTTAAAAACAAAAGAGCAATGATATATTTTTTGAATAACAAATTTGCTTTAATAAATTGTAATTCTTAGGAAGTACCATAAGAAAATACTGATAAGAATGAAAATTGGTTCAGTCTTTCTGGAGAGAAATTTGTCAACACAAGTCAAAACCTTTTTCCAAGAAAAAAAGAACATATATGTATACTAGAGTTCCTCGCAGCCTCCTTAAAAAATTTATAATAATGTAACAGTAAATTACCTAAGTATTTAACAAAGTTGGATTAATGTAATAAATTGTAGTGCAAAACAGAACAGAATTCTTTTCACCCGTTAAAAGAATTTTTGAAGGATGAACAATTATTTAATGACACGAAAACACTCATTTTCACTGATAAGTGAAAAGGTTACATATGTGTATTTACAATCTAATATTAGCTATCTAATCTTAACCCCTTTATTTTGTTTTCTCTTTTTCTGGTGTTTTTTCTTTTTCTATTTTTGTCTTTTTAAATTTTCTTTTTTTAACCACTTTATAAAGTTTATTATTATCATCTTCATTTGGCAGATGAGTAAAATCAGGTTAAAGAAGACTAAATAACTTGCTTAAAGATTATACAGTATATACAGTATGGTACACATGTATGTGTACACACACATATACTAAAATATAGTATAATTCCAAAACGTTAAAGGTGACCATCTCTGGGAGTGGACTTTTGGGTGATTTTTATTTGCATTTTGTTTGCTTATCTCTAAAAAAAATCCTACAAATTAAAAAGCATGGGTCAGATATTGAGCACAGAATCTAATTATAGATAACAGTCTCAGTCTTAGTCTCAGTCTCAGGCTACTTGACTCACTCAAAGCCAGGGGCATCTGGCCTGGCAGACAATCAAGCATTACCTCTCTAAATGGTAAACTGGATTTGGGCATCACCTCACTATAACATCATAATTCTCAATATCACTTACACCTAACAGTACACATATTGGTAGTTAATAGAATCTTTAGTTTTTCATCAATGGTCATTTGCCAACTTTTTATCCATTACTATATGGAAGCTAATTTACTTGTATTGTCAGCCTGAATCACTTGGATGCTCAGTCTTCTCCAGTCTTCTGGGGCTCAGCCCACAGAGGAAACCTAGCCTTTTTTCTGTCCTGATTTCTGCCAGCTCTCTCTCTCTTGTGCCTGGATGTCTTGTATTTAAGGTCAAGCATTCCTTCTGCAGGGGACAGCTAAAGCTATGCTCCCATCCTGTTACCTTGGAGACTGACTCATGTCCAGAATTGGAATTTGCTGTTGGATTGGTTCTTTTACCTAGCCAGCCCTGTGTTTTTCCATTTCTCACTGATTCCAGTGATCTCAAAGCCTTCTCAATTTCAGCATTCAGTATAAGCATCAGGCTGTGGATTCTGCTGGCTTCCTAGGAGCCAATCTTGACAATAATCCCTTTGGTAACTTAGTAAGATTGTTGACATAATTTCAATAATAAAGAAAGATGTAAAGGTTTGATTGCATATACCAATACAAATGTTTTGGGACAGGTACCAGTTGATTACTATAGATTTTGGTGTTAATCTCTAAATTTCATATAAAATTTAGGTCTTATATTAGACTATAAACAACCAAAATGAATGGCTAACTTTTTAGCCAATGGTACAGGCTATTGTTATAAAATAGAAATAAAACAAATTAGTAATTGCAGAGATCTGAAAATATAATAGAGTGGGTAATCCTCAATCACTGAAATTGACTTACCTGAATTAAAAACACTTTGATGCTATAGTCTTCTAAATCGGTCGCCATTATTCGTAAATTTTTGTGGTTTGCTCTTTGAATCTCCATTTGAGCCCAGAGTTTGCTATTGAGAATCAGCCTCAGGCTGCCTTGATTGCGCATAACTAAAATAGGAAAGTGAATATATCAAACTGTACAACAGTTGATTCCTTAACCTTCCAATTTGGCATTTTTGAAAGCAAAGTAAATCTTTCAGTTGTTTTTCGGACTGTATTTTCACCATTAAGTTGTTATTTGACTAGATTATAACTTGGTTTTCAAATTGGGCTTTATAATGTTAAAGGACTTTTTTATTAGCTTAAAATACTTTAATTATACTTTTGTACTATAATATGAAAAATAATTAAAATTTTAGAGCTCCTTTAAGGACCTAGTAGTCTGAAGAACTTATCCAAGAATTGTTTAAAATAGAGAAAACTGAAATAAAAACTTTAAGCATTCAGAAAATGGAATTAGTTAAGTAAATGATGGTATAACTGTTCAAGATGTTATAACCTCATTAAGAATACTGAAGAAAGATAATTATCGATGAAGAAAGGTGATCATGGTCTACTATATAAAAGAAAAAAAATAGCTTATAAACCAATATAAACACCATGAATCACAAATTTTCAATATATGTATACATTTATATACCTAGAAAACAAAGTCTAGAAGAATATATTCTGTTAACAGCGTCTATCACAGGAAGATAGGCCTATGAGTGATTTTAATTTTTTTCTTTTTGTTAATCCATATTTTGTCTCTTATAATGAACATGTATTACCTGTATAATAAAAAGAAAAGTTGTTTTGTGGTTTCTTTTTGGCAGACAGCAGAAGGAGTGGAATTAAACCAGAGTAGAAAACAACTAGCATCTGCCTTAGGAATAATGCTCGATTGGGTTATTTAGAAACCTGTTTGCCAGTTACAGACTGAAGACACTGAATTCTATTCCTTACCCATTCCTTGACCTTGACATCTGAAACTCAACAAATATCCTTATACCTGGATCCAACTTCTATTTGTGGTCTCCTCCACAGCTTTGACCACCCAACGTTGACCAATAAACCAAACCTATCCACTCAACTCAGATCTCTGCCTCGGTTCACTCTTGGTTTGGGCCTCTGAACAAAGGCCAGTGTGTCTTTTTGGATGCCCAAAACCTCCTGAGTCTTTTAATTTGACTGATGATTCTAACCATCACTCTGTCCGCAGGATTCAATAACCATACACATTTATTTCCTTGGAAACTGACCCTGCATCGCAACCCACACACTATGTTTAGAATGGCAAGGGTAAATTATAGGGCGAATGTCCTCTTTCGGAAAAACTATTTTTTACTTTTAAAGTAATTTGCATCATATTCCTTTAAATAATAATGAGATAACTATTTAGGTGTGTGCTGGGCTCTGTCATAGGTGCTCTACTTGCATCATCTCACTGAATACTCACAACTGCTTAGTAAGTCATAGACTAATACCGATACAACTAGGGCAGAAAGAGGTTAAGTAACTTGTCAAAGGTGACCAGTTAGTGGGGAGCCAGAACTGGAATCCGGTAGTCTAACGTTGGAGCCTACTCTAACCAGGAGGTTCCTATAGCACATTAGAAATAATATTGTTTTCACAGTCTGATTTATTGACATATTTTATAAGACATCTCCAGAAAAGGATATGCACCTATGTGGGAAACTTTACCCTGAGAAATAGTGTCTTGCTTTACAAAATGATTCCTTACTTAGTCTTGACTGGAATGTTCCACTGTCACTACTTGGTGTATCATTCAATCTCAAAGCTCCTCTGCCCCGTTCAATCCAGGACTGTGTTGTTTTGTTGAATATAAAAAGCTTGCAGTTGATCTGAAGGACAATTTTTTAAAATGTCAAATAGATAGAACATTGTTTTTTCAAAGCAAATTCTTTCCTATGTTGTAACCTTAGCAGAATAACCTTTGTTAGTGATTTATACATCAGCTTTTAAATTTTATTTAACTTTTAAAAACATGAATTTTGAATAATTCAAATATCAAAAACCAAAAAGCTGTAAAAAAGTGAGAAGTCTCTCCCCAACCCTAGTTTCCCATCTGCCAATTTCCACCTCCTGCAATTGTAACCACTGTTGCTAATATTTTGTTTATCTTTCCAAAGATATTTGTATGTATGTATACATGAGACAATACATACATATGTCCCCCCCCCCGCCTTTTTTTTTCTATAAATAGTAGACTATCATACTTTCAGTATCTGGCTTTTTCACTTAATAGTATATCTATATATACACCAAATTTTAAATTTAATGTTATTCGAACTATAATTTATTTGAAAGTAAAGAAAGCATGGAACTATTTGTATGCTTAAAAAATTTGTATGCTTAAACTATTTGTATGCTTAAAGTCCATGGCATAAGAACTAGGAAGTGATACCAGAGTACCCTACTATAATATCTGGCTTTTTCACTTAATAGTATATCTATATATACACCAAATTTTAAATTTAATGTTATTCGAACTATAATTTATTTGAAAGTAAAGAAATCATGGAACTATTTGTATGCTTAAAAAATTTGTATGCTTAAACTATTTGTATGCTTAAAGTCCATGGCATAAGAACTAGGAAGTGATACCAGAGTACCCTACTATAATTGAATGTTTACCAGTGGTTCTCAAATATTATTGTGTTCAGGAATCACCTAGATTACTAGTTAAAAATACAGTATGCCAGGGCCTCACCCCTGGTGATTACTTCAATAAGTCCAGGGTTAATCTGATCTGAGAGTTAAGCTTTGAGACACTTTTATAATAAATGTATAGTAGATCATGGGGGAAGAGACGAGGAAAGAAGAGGGTTTGGAGAAGAACAGATGTAGGAAGACAAAGAGAAATCCGTGCCTTGTTGAAAAATGATTAAGTTGTAGTAATTACCTTTCAGATGCTCACTCCGAAATCTAGACCACTCAACATTCAAATCCTATGTGTGATACTGTATACTACATATGTGAAATTCTTAATTTATATGAAATTCAGAACTTAAAAACTTTCAAAAAGAAAACAAAATTTTTTACTATTTTGAACTAAAATCAATTCATCTCATCAGCATTTTAAAACCTTCAGTGTAAGTAGAATTTTTAAATCATATGATAATAGCACTGATTACAAAAGCAGGTTGAAAAGTATGAAATACAGGTCAAAATTACTTTAAGAAAGGGTCCCGAGCTGTCTTCTTCCTAAGGGACTAATGTGAATGGACCAACAACCCATTTTCCCGCAAATTACATGTATACATGTAAGAATCCAACAAAAAATTGGTTTAATCTTTGTAAGCGTCCAACATTTTTATTTAAGCAGCTTAGTTTTCTTGAAAACTATATGTCTGCCTTTATTTTTTAAAATGTCCTGGTGATGGTAACTTTCTTATATGTATGTAAGTGCTACCCGAAAGAGCAAATACATGATATACAAACCTTTAACACATTATATTCTGCTTCCTCCCCTGTTATTACATCAATTTTCTCCAGCAAGCACTTTTGTGATGATTTAGAAGAAAAGGCAGCAGCCGATTCAATTAGAGATATCTTTTTAATAGAGTCTGGTCCTAAGAGAATAAATAGGGAGAAAAAAAAAAAAACACATAAAAAGCCCCATTTTCTCCACTTTGTTCTTTGTTGCCACTATTAACATACATATCTCCTTAGCTTTTTATAACAATGAATGTTTCCAAAAAGCCACAGTGTTTGAGTTTAGGTAAATCTCTGTATTGATTCCTCATATCATTTACTCAAAAATTTTAAAAACCTTCTATGTCACGTGACAATATTTATATGCTTTAATCTTTACCAATAAATTTTAAAATACTGGACTATTGTTTTTTTACTTTATAGATACTAAACAAATGACAAGGGAAAACAGGAAATAAACTAGTTGAATCAAATGTTTTACAAATGAAATAATTCTTACTTGAGTTTGGAGAGTTGATAGGAAATTTTAAAGTGGATTTAAATGGTTTTTCCTTGGCATTGGAATCATTTTCAAGTTGTGGCTGGGTTTTCTGAGTATCCTAGGTGGGAGGGAAAGGCATATTATTTAATTTTTCCTCATACATTTGCAGTAAGCCAAAAGATACCTTTGTTCTTCTGTTTCAACATGGGGGCAAAGAAACCCAGCTGCTCTGTTTTGAGGGGCTCCCTATGTGCCAAACAGGTAATTTCCTCCCTATCATTTGAGAACCTTGGTTCTGATCCTCAGGAAGCAAGGAAGCATAATCCACTGACCACCAGCCTACAGCAGGTGGGATTAGTTCTAGGGACAATGCGAGAAGTTAAGAGGCTCCAAAAGAGGTAGCAGCTATTTTACACTAACACCAGGTCCTCGCTACCACCAGGCTAACCTGAGGCCTGGGAAGGAGGAGCAACTGTCATCTCTGTTTCAAGGTATCTCAGTATTCCCAGCAATTCGCTCTATCTACTACATTTAAAATAATAGTAATAATTAATAAATAAATA